TATTAATGTTAACTGTTGTCCTGTGGTAAGTTGGCCATAGCAAGTTGTCCTAGAAACTTCCCTTTGCCCCAGATAGCCTTCCCTATACATTTAGCTACCACCAATACCTTTTGTAACACAGCCAGTGATTTTAGCAGCTGGCAATGCAGATGGCTGCATTTGGAATATCAACAATGTTTTAATTGGATACATTGCGACCGACAATTTTTAGGCAATCTAAATTCTTTCTGAAGCCTCTCAAAACTTTAAAAGAATTTTTAATGACCAGTTAAGTTAAATATTAATATTTTCTTCCTGCCTAGGTTCTCCCAGAAAAGTCTTTTATCTGCCATTCTTAAATTACTGTAATCACAAAGTATCTTATGGGAATCGGGATCAAATGTATGCATTAACCCCAAAGTCTTTCCAATATATCTTGCTGCAATGAAATCAAGAAAAATAATTGAATGAAATTAGAACCAAGCACTCACTGTATTTTCAAATGAATCAAATAATAGGTTTCTTAGCTAAATCCCCACTGGCTGGTAATCAAAATTACTCCCATTCTGCTTAATAATAAAAGTTAAAATGTATACACTTGATTATCTTTGAAAGTCTGTAAGCTGAACTCTTCCTCTTCATATGAAAGGCTTAAATCTAATGGAAACTTTGATGGGGAGACCATCACTCAGCCTTAATCTGAGGTAACTAAAAGGAATCCATGCCATTTTGGGGCAGAAAAACACATCTAAATCCTCATGTTACAACTCTACTACCACAGCCATGTTCCATTTTTACTCAGCATTTGGTCAACTTCATTCAGAATGCAAAGAGGGTAGTCTTGCCTCAGAGATAAAGCCAACCCTCTTGTGGATATCAATTCCCAGAATTCTAGGAATCATGATGGCTGGGGAATTCTGGGAGTTGAAGTCCACCCAGCTTAAAACTGCCAAGGTTGAGAAACACTGTATCAGAGTACTATTCAGAGTTCAGTCAAAATTACTCCAAGTTAAGTATGGATGGAATTGGGTCTTAATGGTCTTAACAGGTTCAATCAATCAGAATAGATCTGGAAGGGACCTTGGAGGTCTTCTAGTCCAACCCCCCCTGCTCAACCAGGAGATCCTATACTACTTTAGACAAGTGACTGTCCAGTCTCTTCTTAAAAACATCCAGTGATGAATCACTCACAACGTCTGAAGGCAAACTGTTCCACTTAATTGTCCTCACTGTTAAGAAGTTTCTCCTCAGTTCCAGTGGCTTCTCTCCTTGATTACTTTTCATCCATTTTCTTTTTCGTCCTGCCCTCTGGTGCTCTGGAAAATAAGTTGAAACCCACCCACCCACCCCGTCCTCTTTATGGCAGCCACTCAAATACTGGATGGGTCTTACGATAGGCCACCCTTTTCCCATTAGGACACAGCGAATGCTATTCCCACCCTCAAACTGCCTCTTTGCTTTGCGTTGTGTTCTACTCCGCTCTTACGCTCTTTTTTTTTTCTCCCCGACCTTCTGCAGGAATTCTTGGAGAGCCCAAAATACAGCACAGATGAGGACCTCGCTGAAAAACTCGAACTATTTAAAAGTGAGTGACCTTGGTGACGGACGTGGTAATGGAAAGGGTGGAATGGGATATTGCAGTTTGGCAGAGTAGAACAGATCCACTTCAAGTTTCTTAAATGAGGAGAGCGTCAGAAAGAGCCATCTATGTTAAAATGGAACAATCCTCTTTCAACAGAGAAGGGAGGAGGTTCGACACCGCCTATCTCCTGTCTACAATGCAGTCCTTTCAGCACAGTGGTTGGATTCAAAAAAATTTACTATCGGTTCTGTGGGCGTGGCTCGGTGGGTGTGGCAGGGGAAGGATACTGTAAAATCTCCATTCTCTCCCCGCCCCACTAACCTGCTTTCCAGCTCCGTTCTCCTGTGCAGGGCAACAAAAGCAGACCCAGCCAATCAGCTGGGACTCGGGAGGCAGAGAATAGATGGGGACGGGGCCAATCAGAGGTGGGATTTGCCGGTTCTCCAAACTACTCAAAATTTCCGCTACCGGTTCTCCAGAACTGGTCAGAACCTGCTGAATATACCACCTCTGTTTCAGCAGTCCCGAGAAGGTTCTACACCCCTTTACACACTCTGATTCAGGGGACTCTGAGGATACAGATATAAGCCTCCAAATGGCCTCAGCGACTCTGAGAAAACTAACAACCAGATGACTGCAAATAATATAAATCCTTCCATTCCCCACCGTTCAGTTCTTGGATGAGAAGCAAAACGTTTTCAAACAAAACAAAAAAAACAAGAAAGTCCAGTTGCCTTTTATAAAAGCATTTTTGGGGCATGTAGATGAACAGGCTATACCCAAGGGAGTGTGTGTGAAATGCACCATCAGTCTGGAGTCCTTATGCCCCTGAAAGTGGCCTAGAGTCCAGCCTAGAGGTGGTATTCAGCAGGTTCTGACCAGTTCTGGAGAACCGGTAGCAGAAATTTTGAGTGGTTCGGAAAACTGGCAAATAGCACCTCTGACTGGAGATTTTACAGTATCCTTCCCCTGCCATGCCCACCAAGCTATGCCCACAGAACTGGTAGTAAAATAAATTGATTCCCACCACTGGCCCAGTCCTTAATCTTACCTGGTGCCTGACTCTTACCTGATGCTACTTTGCACTGACCATTAGTAGATCAGATTCTTGTGTATAGGTAACATGGAATAAACTCACAACGCTTTTGAATTCTATCCTGGTTCCTGGTTTCTTATGCCGGTAATCCCAATTCCTCAAAATTGGAATTTATGATGGAATGGATATAGACTTATAATGTGTTCTTGGACCTTCTTCTTCTTCTTTTTTTGCAGAGAAATACATGGAATTTGATCTCAATGCACAAGGTGATATAGGTAAGTGTTACCGATAGATAAGATTCACACGAATCGACACAGAAATATTTTTCTATATGCACCATAATCTTTCTGCTCCATAAATAATACAGACCATAAATAGCCCTGTAGAAATATGCTAGGATTGTTGTCTCTCCTACACTCCCAACAACTCCTCCAGTTCTCAGCCAAGATATTTAAAATTAATCACTGTTTTAAAAATGAAATTGCCACCTCGTCCATAAAAATATAGATTTAGAATTTAGTGTAAAAACGAAAATGGTCAATCTTTGCAATTTCCATTTGATATTATTTCTTCATCAATCTGCTGTTTTGTAAACACAGCCCTCCCGTCTTCAATTTTTAAATAGTTAAACTATAGCCAAACGTGTACATTCAAAGTAAACATTTCTAAACTAATTAAAATATATATATATGAATAGGAATTTTGATCTGCTTGTTGAATGAGGCGCTATGTTACTAAATCTGGAGGTGTACAATTAGAATGCTGTATTCTAATCCAAACCTTAATTCAGGAAATAGGGGTTGGATCAAATCCATTTCTATCACTATTTTAAAAACATGGGCTAATTCATTTTTATTGTTTAAAAAAAACGAAAGTCACTTCTTTGTAATCTTTTTTTTTTCTTCGAGCTGCGTTCTTGTCTTTATTCTCTTTTTCTTTTTTTCCTCTATTTTTATTCTAATTATTACTTCTTGTTAGTTTTTTTACTGGTAATAAAGTTTATTTTTAAAAAATTAAAAGAATGAAGTCCTCAAATATCCTGCTTTATCCATTGTTCTTGTTACTAATAAAATACCACAGTAAAATAATGCTTTCTAATGACTTTCATGTTTGTCTCCATGTCATTTTTTTCTGGAAACATTATAGAAATTTATTTTGCATTTATAGAACATGAAGACACCTGCAAGCATCAACCCACCCCAAAACATCTTCTTTCAAAAGCCAAATTGTTTAAACTACGAAAGTCAGCAAGAAAACTATTTTGTTACAAATGTAACAAAATAAAAGCCAAAAAAATTAAAATTAGTCCAAAAAAAAACAAAAAACAAATCAGAAGTTAAGATTAACAAAGCAAAAATTAGAAGGGCCTGAAAAACAAGGGGCTACAAAAAAATATCATGTGAAAATATTGTGTTCATAAATTTGCAGTAGAATGATTAAAATGCTAGTTTAGGATAGGGGAGACCCAGATTTTAAATCCATAGTCACCCATGGAAATTGGATGATTTCAGAGCTAATTTCACAGGGTCGTTATTTGAGAGGTAAAATGAAAAGAAAAGGGGGCATTCCTCACGTAGCTGTGTTTGTTTGTTTGGAAATTTTATTTGCTGCCCACCCAACAACTCTGGGCGGCTGTATATGCAAGTCCACCATACCAACCAATATTATTGTGACATTTTATTATGATAAAAGTTGAGTTTTCTGGTCAGAGGGTTGCAGGCAGGGGTGGGATTCAATTTTTTAACAATCGGTTCTGTGGGCATGGCTTAGGTGGTGGGCGTGGCTTGGTGGTCACGTGACTGGGTGGACATGGCTTGGTGGTCATGTTATTGGATGGGCGTGGCCAACTCAATATCACTCACATCGAGGCACACATCTCCTCGCCTGGCCTCTCATGAGTGTGGGGATGCTGCAACAGTCGTAAGTGTGAAAAATGGTCATACGTCACTTTTTTCAGTGCCATTGTAACTTTGAATGGTCACTCCACACAAGCAAAGTACCAGCAAAGGAGGGGGGGAAAACTCCAGAGAAGTTTCTGAGACAGGAAGTCTACTCCTGCCAAAAACGTAATAAGGGTTAATGGAGAGGCAGTTTCTGTAAGCAACACCAGAATGTTTCCTTCCTGCCTTCCTTACAGGATTAGGCCAGTAATTTCTAATAACAACCAGTTCTCCGAACTGCTTAGAATGTTAACAACCGGTTCTAGCGAATAGGTGCAAACTGGTAGAATCCCACCCCTGGTTGCAGAGGGTGGGTGACCCCAAGACATTATAACCATCATAGGTGCAGGCCATTTGCCAGGTGTCCAAATTTTGATCACATGGCCATGGGGATGCCTCAATGGTTGTAAATGTGAAAAAAGGGCATAAGTCACGTTTTTTTTCAGTGCCATCATAACTATGGTCCCTAAACATATATATATAATTTAATTTGACTAACTTCATTCTCCAGTGTGCTGAATAAACAGTTTCCCTTGCATGTGTTCCCCACACCGGAAATTAACCAAAGCAGTTCTTGCTTGCCTTCTGGCCTAGTCACACTTTTATTGATTCATGAGAATTTGGACTTAATTTGCCATTCTTTTTAGACCTCATTTGGATGAAAATGTTTGAAAACACAGGCTGTGCTTGAGGAACCAAGCTGCCGTTTGGACTCAATTCATCTACGGCAGGGGTGTCAAACTCGATTTCATTGAGGGCCACATCGGGGTTGTGTTTGACCTCGGGGGAGGGGCATGGCCAGCTTGAGGTAACTCGTCTCAGAGGGGCACCTGTGGCGGCCCGAGCACTCTGCCAGTGAAAGCAAGGGTCCCAAGCTCCGTTTTCGGCTGGGACGGCCTCCTGCAACTTTTTGCCAGCAAAAATGGAGCTGGGGATGTGTGCGCGTGGCCCTTGCGAGCTCCGTCTTTAGCTGGGATGGCCTCCTGCAACTTTCCGAGCTCCATATTTGCTGGCATAGGCACCGCGGACCGGGCCTTCATTGTTTACAGGGGAGCCCCGTAGGCCAGATCTACACACCTCATAGGCAAGGTCTTGAGTTTGACACCCCTGATGTAGGTGGAGCTTGCTTATTAGTTCAACCACCAATTTGTAACATTTACAGGTCGTCTTTGGCTTACGACCGTAATTGAGCCCAGAATTAGTGTTAAGTCTTGCTGGTTGTTAAGTGGGTCATCACACGTCTGACCCAATTTTATGATTTTTTTTGTTGTGTGGTCATTCAGTGAATCACCATAGTCTTGGGCATAAACCATGGTCCTGGACCTGTTTCAACTCCTTCCCTCAGGATGCCGTTATAGGGTGTTACGTGCCAAAATGAGTAGACATAGGGGCAGTTTTTTTCTCTCTCATGCCATCACTCTGATGAGCACCTAATCCCCACAGTACCATCTTATGTCTGAATATATTCACCTATTTTTTATTATTATTATTATTATTATTATTATGATGATGATGATGATGATGTCAAGGTTCCAAGTAATAGATCCATTGCAAGCAAAACTCCAAGGCAGGTAGATTCCTCAAAGAATAGCTTTATTGGAAATAACAAATTGGCACAGAGCTGGTGAAAACCGACTCTGAAGGGTCCCTCGGTTTTAATCTAATTAAAACTGAAAGTTTCCCCCCACCCTCCAATCCCAAACAATCAGTCACATGGCCCAATCAAGGCAGCGTCCACTGGCTTGGTGACATCACTCCTCCTTCCTCCGGCCAGGTGTGAGAATGACCTTGTTTCCCAAGAGAAAGTATTTTATTTTGACTTCACAACCCCAACTATCTCCAATCCCCCACCTCCTAATCCCTCACTCCAGTGTGGCAATACTGAAGCTCCAAGATGGCTTCAGCCAGGCCGGCTTCAGGACTGACATATTATCCTTTTCATCTTCTCTGCTATCCCCTCTTGTTGGTGTCATTGATTATTATTACTCTAGACATAGAATAACAGAGTTGGAAGGGACCTTGGAGGTCATTTAGTCCAACCCCCTGCTTGAGCAGGAGAGTCTATTCCAAATATTAGCCTCTACCTAAGATCAACCTCACAGCCTCTCTGTTGCTTTGCATGTACACTGAGAGATTCTGCACCAGAGACAAATTCCTTGGGCGTCCAATCACACCTGGCCAAATAAATTGTATTGTATCATGTAAGAGATTGGACTCCCATCTGTCAGAAATGGTGTAAGGTCTCCTGCTTGGACAGGGGGGTGGACTAGATGACCTACAAGGTCCCTTCCAACTCTGATTATCTGTTATCTGTTATGTGTACTCTATCCTATTCTATCCTATCTTTTCTTAGAAGCTGGTGCATCTTTGTGCCTTTTATCTTCCCTTTTATTGTGGTTCATTCTTGTTCCTCCTATTTCTTCAAGATATCATGGCTCTGAAGCGGATGTTGGAAAAAATGGGTGCGGCCAAGACCCACCTAGAACTGAAAAAAATGATCACGGAGATCACAGGAGGGATGAGAGAAACCATCAATTACCGTGACTTTGTCTCTATGATGCTGGGAAAGCGATCGGCTATCTTTAAAATGTAAGTATTTGTTAGGGATACAACACCCTAGCAGAACGTGCAACAGCAGTCTAGCAGACAGAGAGTGTGTGTGAGATAAAGCGTTGTTGTAGCTTTACACTTAGTAAGACAGATACACTGTGCAGTTAAATAGTTTTTATTCCAGCAAGAGTTATAGCATAGTCAAAGCAGTCCATATGTCATACACTAAGTTCAGACAGTCCAAGGGTTATTCAGTTTGCAAAGTCCAGTGTAGAAAATAGGTTGTTTAACTCACAAACAATCAGTCCAATGATGTATCTCTTTTGCAGTCAGAGATATGAAGCAAAATCAAACCTTCTTTTCTTCTCTCAGCAAACGCACGCAGTAATCACCATCAATCCTTCTCTGTCAGCATTCCAGTAAAAGCCGGCGAACAGTGAGCTCTCTTGCTCCCTCTTATGGTGATTTACAACCGCACCCAAATACTAGGCTTACAGTTTAAAGTGACACACACATTTAAACTAACAAACATATATTATATTTAGCCAAACTAAGTTAGGTAACCAATGTTATCCCTAACAGTATTTATTTATTACATTCATTAACTGCACATTTTACCACAAGGTTACTCTGGGCGGTTTACAACATGACATAAGTTAGTGGACCAGAGAAGTGCTGTGGACATAGTATACTTGGATTTCAGAAAGGCATTTGATACAGTAGACCACGACCTACTTCTTATTAAGTTAGAAAAGTTGTAGGATAGATAGCATCACCACCAGATTGATTTGTAACTAACTGACAAAACCACGCTCATGATGTAGTCCTTAATGAAACCACATCTACATAGAGGGAAGTAAGCAGTGGGGTACCCCAAGGTTCTGTTTTAGGCCCACTACATAAAGTATTTAGATGAAAAACTCATCAAATTTCCAGATGACACCAAGCTGGTAGGAATAGCCAACACCCCAGAAGATAAGCTCAAGAGCCAGAAGGATCTTGACAGATTTGAATACTGGGCCCTATCTAACAAAATGAAATTCAATGGTGAGAAAAGTACAGTTCTATACCTAGGCAACAAAAAACCAAATGCACAGGTATAAAATAGGTGGTATCTGGCTCAATAGTGAGGGAGATCTTGGAATCCTATTGGACAATCACTTAAATATGAGCCAGCAGCGTGCTGCAGCTGCCAAAAAAGCCAACACAATCCTAGGCTGTATTAACAGGGATAGAATCAAGATCACACGAAGTGTTAATACCACTTTATAAAGCCTTAGTAAGACAACACTTAAAATATTGCATCCAGTTTTTTTTTTTAAAAAAACAAGTTTTATTAATTTTTAAAACACACAAATTGTCATTATTCATTACATGTTTAAACCTTTTTTCATTGTCAATTTAACAAGTCAGATAAATTATAATTCTGTTTTAAACCATTTCCATACAACATACCAAAACCTCTTATTCAATTTCTCTTTACTTCTCTTTACTCTTATTCAATATCATTATTATTATTTCATCTGTTTCTTTCTGACTTAGTTACCATTATTCTCAATCTATATTTCTACAATTTTTAACTAATTCTCCCCCCAAAAAGACATATACACACAACACACAAAACATAAAAAAAATCTTTTTGGAAAGTAACTTGGACCCAGGTGTCTCTCTCTTCATGGACTTCAATTATATTCATGCTCATCTTACATATCATTACTTATTTTATTTACCATTCTAAGCCTTCTATATTAACTTCCCCACATATTTCACACTTCTTACTTCTATCTTAATTAATCATCTTAATTTGAATCATTATATTTATATCTTTTGTCCATTTTTTATCATCCCTTTGTCTCATTCCTTATAAAAAAAAAAGAAAATAAGTTTCTCCTGAAATCATTAATCAGAGTATGATGCCTTTCTATCTCCCCCCTAAGTTAATCAAATTAATCTTTAAAATAATATCTAATACCCAATCCGATTTTGCTTGGTACATTCTATCTAACTAATACATCCAACATAATTAAGTACATAATTAGACAATAAATCCAAATATTAAAAAAAGATACTATAATAAAAATTTTATAATAACATCAATACCATAGTCTTATTAAACTCTTTAATTAAAACAATATTCTAAACCTCCCCTATTATTAAGTTTTAAAGCCAATCATTTTTAAACATTTTAACATTTTAATCTCTTATCAACTCTTAAATCATTACAATACTACCATCTCATCTTATGTACCTTGCAAAATCTTTTTTTTTTTAAAAAAAATTATACTTTATCCATTATCCAAAAAAAATTTCTTTTTTTCATTTAATTTCAAAACATTGTAGCTTTTCTCCACCTTTTCCCTTTCTTTCTTCTCCCAACAAACCTTTCTACCTCCCCTTCTTCTAGCCTCTGCCTTGCCAGCTTCCCTTCTCTGTCGTATTCCTTTTCCCTTTTGTTTACTATCATCATATTGGTTTTGCACCTTATTTTTCCCTTTCTTAAATGTTTTTTTAGATCTTAAGTCCTTAAGTCCTTTAATTTTCTTCTTTTCTCTTCTTTTCTTTTCTTTCTCTCTTCCTTCTTTCTGGATCAAGTTCTGAGATTCATTAAAAATGGCTCCTTTCTTTCTTTCTTGTTCCTCTGCTGTCTTCATCTGTTGTAATGTTTGTTGATAATTAATAAGCGCCATTTCTAAGAAAAGGAAAGCTTCTTCCACACCATCTTTACCATTTTTTTTTTGCTTGTTCATATTCTTTTCTTAGTTCCTCAACAGAAAGAGCCATTATAAATCTTTTCTTTTCTTTTCCCCTTCTTTCTTCTTACAACCAGAATATTCAAAAGAAAATAAAAAAAATAAAACAGTCCCAAAGTTATCAGTCAGTCCAAACCAAGACAGAGTTCTCACTTTCTCCTTCTGGGGTAATATCAATCCAAGAGAAAGAAAGTCCAAATCTGTTTAAAATCTTATTGCAATATATTCTAGTCTTCAAATCCTTAAGGCATCTGCTCCAACAAAGTCTTAGCATACAAATGTTTTCTTTTTAATCCTCTCTCTTCCCACTCATCGCTTAAAACCAATTTTCACCTAAAAGAAATAGGTTTCTTAATATCCAGTTATTTATTCCGTAGGAAAAGAGGGAAAGCTATCCTTTCAGCACCTTCAAACAGCCGCTTTTTTCCTCTTCTGGCAGGTATTATTCAGAAAGTCATACTTTTCAGGAATTTTATTAGATATGTCTTAGAGTCCTAGGAGCCAAGAAAAACTTTCTCCTCTCAATCACTTTCTCCACTTCCTCCTGCGCATTCTTACCTGGCTGCCAGCTTCTTTGTGGCGGCCATTACAGACCGCCGCTGCACCGTCCTGGGAAAAGGGAGTTCTGCCGGCCAGGGAGGGAGTCTGCAGCACCCCCAAACCCTTCTCCGGATCCCCCCTACCTTCAGCTGCCCCTGCAGGGCAGCCTAGCTCCGTACCCGGCTGGGTCGGAGCCCCAAAAACGGCTAGCGCGGCAGGGATCGCGCAGCTTCGCAAATCCCTGCCGCTCGCGAAGCCGACAAAAAGGAAAGCCCAAATATTGCATCCAGTTTTGAATATCATAATATAAAAAAGATCTTGGGACTCGGGAAAGAGTGCAGAGAAGAGCAACAAAGATTATTAGGGGACCGGAGGCTAAAACATATGAAGAACGGTTGCAGGAACTGTGTGTGGCTAGTCTAGGGAAAACAAGGACTAGGGGTGACATGATAGCAGTGTTCCAATATTTGAGGGGTGCCATAAAGAAGAGGGGGTCAACCTATTTTCCAAAGCACCAGAAGTCAGGACAAGAAGCAATGGATGATAACCTTCAAGCAAAAAAAGAATTAAGGAGACATTTCATGACAGTGAGAACAACTAACCAGTGAAATGGCTGGCCTTCAGAAGTGGGTCCATGACAATTCAATATGGCCAACTCGCTACAGCCAATTCTCCACGGCCCACTTGCCATGGCCAACTCACACACTAATGTCAAAGAAATAGTGGCATAGAATCATTAAAGGAGGCAAACAGAGGGACTGAATGAAATGTGAACAACAAAAATTAACATATTTTATTTTGAATAATTAAATTGAATTGTGAAATTGTCCTGCGTCTAATTATCCAGCGGCGAGTTGGCCATGGCGAGTTGTCTCATTCTGTTCAGAAGTTCTGGGTGCTCCACCACTGAATTCTGGGTTGCTGCAATGTCTACTAGAAAAAAAATTGGTTACAGAATTATAGCTGTCAATTTGTGCCAATTTTTGGAAATAGAACAATCTTTGGAAAATGATATTTACACACATATTTATTGGATCTCCACTCATATAAATCAGGGAGTGCCCCTAACTGTTTGAGAACATGTATTTTCTTAACGGATGTTTTTATCCACTATTAATGTATTATAATGTGTCAGTATTTTTTAATATATATGTATTATAAATAGTGATGTCTATTGCTGGTCTAAGACTAAGTAATAAAGTTATATTCTATTCTACCTTCTACCACCACTGAAGGTTTTTAAGAAGAGGTTAGCTGACATGTATAAGAATAACCTAGGGATTTCACAGTTTTGTTAAAGTACAACTCCTAGCATCCCTCCACTATGGATCACGATGGCTAAGGCTGATGGGAGCTATAGTTCAGCAACTTCTGGAGAGGCCCAGTCCTTTCTCAAGTTGGCATGATTTCTACCAGGCTAACTTTGGGAGTGGAACTGGCAAAAAGTAAAGCAGGTTTAAAAAGAGCTCCCTGCAGAAGTTAGGAATGTGGGGATAGATCTCCGAGGTGAATAGATTAGCTCTAGACCAGTGATGGCTAACCTATGACACGCGTGTCACTCGTGACACGCTGAGGCACTTTGACTGACACGCCTGTTGGTGTGGGGAAAACCTGCACATTTAGAGGCTGCCTGTGCTCTGCTCCAATCCCTGCTCCCTGCTTGTTGCGTGGAGGCGTGGTGTCATCGCTGCCGCAAGATCTTTGCAGCAGAGAACCAGTTTTAACCTCCATAAACTGAGGTTTGTCAGTTTCATTACCTCAGGAACGCTACAGGAGGAAAGGAGATCCATGAGGTTCACAGCCCTGTAAGGTGGCCTTCCGATCCCCACATCCTGCACCTGCAGCCCTGAGACCAGGGAGACGAGTTTCACAGCCCTGTGTGATCACCCCAGCCCAGTCCGTCATAAACCAAATTATTGATATTTCTTGAAGTGACACACGACCCGAGGAAGGCTACACTTTTTCCCGATTTTTGACACACCAAGCTGAAAAGGTTAGCCATCACTGCTCTAGACTCTGACTCTAGTTATTTCACACACCATTATTCTTTTAGTTGTAAGAAACAGGTTTCAAAGAGATGTTAATTCAGGGAAAACGAAGAGTACCTTCTGTGAATTTGGTTGTTGTTTTTTTCCCCTGCAGAATTCTGATGTACGAAAAAATGAAAGAGAAGGAAGAGCTTCCAACTGGGCCTGCTCCAAAGAAAACAGTGGCAGATCTTCCTTAACCATCCCCAAGAACAGAAGAAAGAAGAATCATATCGTCTCAGTCTCTCTCTCTCTCTCTCTCTCTCTCTCTCTCTCTCTCTCTCTCACACACACACACACACACACACACACACACAGTATACAGGTAGCCCTCGACTTACAACAGTTCATTTAGTTACAACGGCACTGAAAAAAAGGATCTTATGATCGTTTTTCACACTTACGACCACTGCCGCATCCTCATGGTCATGCAATCAAAATCCACACGCTTGGCCATTGACTCGTACCTGTGACGGTTGCAGTGTCGCGTGATCTCCTTTTGCGACCTCCTGACAAGCAAAGTCCGTGGGGAAGCCAGATTCACTTAACAACCATGTTAACTAGCTTAACAACTGCAGTGATTCACTTAACAGCGGCGGCAAGAAAGGTCGTAAAAATGGGGCAAAACTCACTTAACAAAGATCTCGCTTAGCAATGGAAAGTTTTGGGCACTGTCATGGTCATTAAGTTAAGGACTACCTGTTCCAGCCCAGGGCTGGAGGAGGGAGGTCAATGCAATAATTGCACATTTTAAAAATAAATAATGTCTCTAATGTTGTTGGGTTTTTTTCTCTTCGGCCAAAGCAGAGATTTGTATCTTTTCTCTCCTAGGAGCATAGTGTTTTTTTTCCTTTTTATTGGATTAAGGTCCCCATTCTGAGGCCAGGGGAATAAACTTTTACTTACTGGCTAATTCATCAAAGTCTTTCCCAGCCTGGTATCTGTGACATTTATTAGACTTCAGTTCCCTCAGCAAGTTCTGTTTCCAGTTAGTTCTCGACTTCTGACCAGTTCAAAGTTGCAAAGTTGGATCAATGGGAGAACGAAAAATGAAGGAGAAGTTTCCAGACAGTTGCAACAATTAATCAGTGGAACGACTTGCCTTCAGAAGTTGTGGATGCTCCAACATTGGAGGTTCTCAAGAAGAGATTGGATAACGATTTGGCTAAAATGGTATAGGGCTGTGATCAGGGGTGGGATTCTACCAGTTCGCACCTATTCGCTAGAACCGGTTGTTAACATTCTAAGCAGTTCAGAGAACCGGTTGTTAGAAGAAATTACTGGCCTAATCCTGTAAGGAAGGCAGGAAGGAAACATTCTGGTGTTGCTTACAGAAACTGCCTCTCCGTTAACCGTTACTACATGCTTGGCAGGACTAGACTTCCTGTCTCAGGAACTTCTCTGGAGTTTTTTTTTCCCCTCCTTTGCTGGTACTTTGCTTTTGTGGAGTGACCATTCAAAGTTACAATGGCACTGAAAAAAGTGACTTATGACTGTTTTTCACACTTACAACTGTTGCAGCATCCCCACAGTCATGAGAGGCCAGGCGAGGAGATGCGTGCCTCGATGTGAGTGATATTGAGTTGGCCACGCCCATCCAATAACATGACCACCAAGCCACGCCCACCCAGTCACATGACCACCAAGCCATGCCCACCACCTAAGCCACGCCCACAGAACCGTTTGTTAAAAAATTTGAATCCCACTCCCGGCTGTGATGGCGAACCTATGGCACACGTGCCAGAGGTGGCACACAGAGCCCTTTCTGTGGGCATGCGAGCCGTTACCCCAGCTCAGCTCTGCCACACATGAGCAGATGCGCCTCCCGCTGGCCAGCTGGTCTTCGGGTCTCTCCCGTACATGCAGGAAAGGAGAGGTGCATGTGAGGGGGTGCATACGGGGGGCAGGGCACATGCACTGGGGGGGGGGTAGAGCACATGCATACTTGGGGCGGTGGGGTGGTTGCGTGGGGGATGTGTGCGCATGCACAGTGGGGTGGGGTGCATATACTAGGGTGGGGTGCATGCACGGGGGTGCATGCACATTGCATTTTGGGGGTGCGCATGTGCAGAGGTGATATTCAGCAGGTTCTGACCAGTTCTGGAGAACCGGTAGCGGAAATTTTGAGTAGTTCAGAGAACCGGCCAATACCATCTCTGACTGGCCCCGCCCCCATCTATTCTCTGCCTCCCGAGTCCCAGCTGATTGGCTGGATCTTCTTTGGTTGCCCTGCACAGGAGAACGGAGCTGGAAAGCAGGTTAGTGAGGTGGGGAGGGAATGGGGATTTTGCAGTATCCTTCCCCTGCCACGCCCACCCAGCCATGCCCACAGAACCGGTAGTAAAAAATTTTGAATCCCACCACTGTGCACGTGCTTTGGGCACTCGGTGCCGAAAAGGTTAGCCGTCACTGGTATATAGTTTCCTACTTGACAGGGGGTTGGATTAGTGTACTCATCTTTAAAAACCTCCAGTGATGAAGCCCCCACAACTTCTGATGGCAAAGCTGTTCCTCTGGTTAATTGTCCTCACTGTTAGGAAGTTTCTCCTGAATTCCAGTTTGCTTCTATCCTTGATTAGTTTCCATCCATTGTTTCTTGTCTTTGGAGAATAATTTGACCCCCTCTTCTTTGTGGCAGCCCCTCAAATACTGGAATACTGCTGTCCTGTCCCCCCAGCCCTTCTTTTCTATAGGCTGGCTAGTGCATTGTGTGGACTAGATCAGGGGTCTCCAACCTTAGCAACTTTGAAGACTTGTGGACTTCAACTCCCAGAATTCCCCAGCCAGCTTTGCTGCATGAGGAATTCTGGGAGGTGAAGTCCTCCAGGCTTAAAGTAGCCAAGGTTGGAGAGCCTTGGACTAGATGACCTACAAGTTCTCTTCCAACTCTGATTATCTGTTATCGGTGTATAAATACAGCCCAGGTCATGTAAAATTAATACTCAGGAGCGTTATTCGGGGTTCATTCCTAAAGCAAATCCAGGATTTTAAACTTGGTTTGCACAGATAACCAATTCATGCGCTACTCTTATTTTCGACCATATTCTCTTCACCGCGACAACATCTGTAACACCTTTATTCAGAATCCGGGATCTTTTTCTGAAGCCACTCGGGAGCAAAATATCCACTGGAGCCTCTTCCACCAACCGTAGCAGGAGCTGAGCCTGAACAAACGAGTTATTGTTGACATTGTCATCAACATTGCCCAGGTGAATAGAAGCATATTAGAAACTAAATTATTGAAATATCACTTTGGGTTGAATATTAACCCTGGAGGCCTTGGTGCTATGAGAGCTTGCTTATTTGCTTGGGGAGAGGTCGAACTGATTATACTTTCACTGCTTTGGGAAAAAAAAAACACGTGAAGCCTATCTAACCATTTCAAATATTGAACCATGCCTGGGATGGCCCAAATCACAGGAAAACACCCCCAGCCTTCATTTAGCATGCAATACACCAGTGGTGGGATTCAAAAAAAAAATTGACTACCGGTTCTGTGGGGGTGGCTTGGTGGGCGTGGCAGGGGACGGATACTGTAAAATCCCCATTCCTTCCTCATCCCACTAACCTGCTTTCCAGCTCCGTTCTCCTGTGCGGGGCAACCAAAGAAGACCCAGCCAATCAGCTGGGACTTGGGAGGCAGAGAAGAGATGGGGGCGGGGTCAATCAGAGGTGGGATTTGCCGGTTCTCCGAACTACTCAAAATGTCCGCTACCGGTTCTCCAGAAATGGTCAGAACCTGCTGAATACCACCTCCGCAATACACTAATAGAAAGAAAGTTCTTTGTGAATAAACAAGGGATTTTTTTTTTGTCCTCCCAAAGAATATGTTTATTAGCAGCCTGATGGTCAGCTCCATCTAAGCTGGAATTTAAGCCATCTCCTATTGCAGGGGTCCCCAACCCGTGATCCCTGGGTGGGCACCAGGCCGTGGCATGCCAGAAACTGGGCCGTGCAAGCAAGTGAAGCCCATCTGTGGGATGCAGGCAGCACACAACACCACGCCACCTCTGGTCTACGGAAAAACCTCTCTTCATGAAACTGGTCCTTGGTACCCCCCAAAACTGGGAGGGGCACTGTCCTTTTAGGTCAAGGGACGTGGTGGCTCAGCAGCTAAGTCGCTGAGCTTGTCGATCAGAAAGGTCGGCAGGTCGGCTGTTGGAATCCCTAGCACTGCGTAGGAGTGAGGTCCCATTACTTGACCCAGCTTCTGCCAACCTAGCAGTTCAAAAGCATGTAAAAAATGCAAGTAGAAAAATAGGCACCACCTTTGGTGGGAAGTGTAGGAAGTTAGCACCCACCCCACCCCTAGAAAAATGAAATATCCTAGGAAATATTAAAAAGGCAGAATATTTCCCCTAAAAAGAGTAGAAACTCACCTCAGAAGCTGAGAAACTCAGCCCTCCCACCTTTGCTAATGGGCCATTACTCTGGCCTAGGCCAGTCTATTTTACCTAACAAAGATCTACCTCCTTCAGGTAGAGCCATAATAGGAATTGCCCAAAGCCCTTTCATTACATCATCATCCAGCAAGGCTCAACCAAGCCTGGGACTCGGGACAGCCTACAGAGTTGCCCCTGCATGGCCCCATGGGAGTCTGACAACCAATCAGAATACAAACTCAAATTCAAATCCCAACAGAGGGTATATAAGGGACTCTCAGCATCTCAGCCCTTGTTGATCTCTTCCTTCACCTTGAAGCATGTGATCGTCCTTTTTTACTTTACCAAGCCATGTGGTCCTGTCCACCATTAAACCATCTTCCCAGTCACCATGTTTCTAGTGTCTTTCTTCCCCACTTGGAACTGAACCCAGGATAATTCTTCCAACAGAAGGTAACAGCGTTCGGTGCGCCTTTGGTGTTTAGTCATGCCGGCCACATGACCACGGAGACATCTTCGGACAGCGCTGGCTGTTCGGCTTTGTAACAGAGATGAGCACCGCCCCCTAGAGGCAGAAACAAGTAGCATGTATGTGCGAGGGGGAACCTTTACCTTTATCCTGTTAGGTTAAAAAAAATATCAGGACTCTGGTAGCAACTTTTCCAACTAACACCTACCCAAAGACAAGCTGTCGGGAGACGATAAATTTACACCTTTTAATAAAAGTGGTACACCATACAGGTAGTCCTCAACTTACAATTCATTTAATGACCGTTCAAAATTACAACGGCATCGGAAACAGTGACTTATGACTGTTTTTCACACTTACAACCACCGCAGCATCCCCGTGGTCTTGTGATCACACTTCAGACCCTTGGTAACTGGCGGTTGCCGTATCCTGATCACTTTTTGCAACCGTCTGACTAGCAAAGTCCATGGAGAAGCCAGATTCACTTTAACGACGTAACGGAACCACTGCGGTGATTCACTTTACAACACGTAGCAAGAAAGCACATAAAAGGGGGCAAAATTCACTTAAGAACTGTCTCATTTAACAACAGAAATGGCAGTCACAAGTCAAGGACCGCTTGTAGTCAAAAAAGGTACTTTATCTAGACTACTGATTACTTTCTTGCCACCGTAGATGAACATGTCTTTCTTATTTATTTTTATTTTATTTTGTCAAGCAATTATAACAGGTAT